ATTTTGGTTGTTTTGCTTCTTCTAGCTTCTCATAACACAATCTAAGAATTTATCTTTCTCTACCATTGGTTTTATATTAATTGGTTAATCAAGAAAATAGTCTCAATGATTTGATAATGAGTTGTAGCTCTAATTCTGATACTTGATTTATGAATAATTTTCTGAGCAAAAACTCTGTGGGGACCTTGTTCTAGCATATTTGTGAGAGTTTGACTCTTTTCTCTGTGTTAAATCAAAGTGAGTTGAATTTTGGGGGGTTATGGGCGAAAAGGACAGTTTGATAATTGATCTGTTGTCTGTGAATATGGTTGAAGCTACAAATACAAACACATGAGCTACACATGCTATATCAGTAAATCACAGAATATAGAAATGTTAACTAGTTGATAGACAAGTGTCCCAATAACTTACTTTTGATTTTGTTTTGTTTTTATTTCAGATGAATATGAAGAAGCCATCAAGGTAATCACTGAATTTAACAGCACATAACACAAGTATTTCAAAAGAAGTAGGAATGTGAAATTCACTCAACCTTCTCTGTAAAAGACGTAAACACACATCAGATCTGCATCTGTTCTGGTGTTTCAGCTTCACAAAGTCAGACAAATGGTAAAGATGTTGAAATGAGAATTGTGGCTAACACTACTAGACAGTGTGGGTGGATTGAATTTTCAACAGTCATGTCATAGCAACGAAACACATACCTATACATGTGTTATATGTGTTTTACATGTTTGGGTTTAAGCCTCCTCTGGCATGTGTTTGTTTTCCATTCAGAGTGCAGAGAAGCAGGGGAACCAGTTGCACATGAACGTATACAAAATGAAAGGGCAGGCCTGCGGAGGCCCTCTAAAGACGGAGGTGAAGGAGCTGAAAGGAGATCTCCGACCTGCTCCTCCATACCCCTCCAGGGTCAAGACAGTGGACAAGGGCACGCAGGTCACCCCGGAGCGAGAAGCTGTAAGGAAGCGTCCTCTATATACAAACATATTTCCAGCATCAGTTTGTGTGTAGTTTTTGTTTTTCTCTACACAAAAAGCACTTCATCGCCTGGATACGGATTAATCACCACTCGTGGCTGCTGTGGAATCGTGTTGCTTTAAATATTCATCGACTGATGTCAGTCTCATGTTTTGGGTGTAGGTCACAGTAAAGGACAACAAGGGGACCAAACCAGATGATGAGCCCCCTCCAATGTGGTTTAGATCATACATGGAAAAGGTGAAGTTTCATTAAACACCTACTTTTTTTGTTCTGTGTGACACACTTGAATGTTTTTCTTGTCTTTTAGCTCCTAAATGAAACTCTTCTTGTTTCATAGTTTAAGGATGAAGTGGTGAAAGAGGTCGTTGAAAGGATGTGCAGTGACTTTTCTGGTCAGTGCTGCACCCACAAGTCCTCTGATGGGCCCCCTGAGCCCAGTGGGGCCAGTGGTGGACCTATAGGACCCAGGCCGGGACCCTCCACCTCCAGTGGGTCCCTTGGCTACACCCCAAACTGCAGTAGCTGCAACAAACTCACCTCTGAAGGGGCGTACAAGTGCAGGTAGGCTTGGACGAACTGATGTAATGAGCAAAATGTTATGATGAAATCCATTTAGGATGTTTTTAAACAATTTGATGGGGAGTGATTCACATTTCCCAAAATTAAGAAAATGCTGGTGAGTCAATAAGTGACAGTGATGATGGTTTGTCACTTATTTACTTTTATTGATTCTTTAGACCTTTGAACCTTTTATGAGTTCAGGTTTTTACCTGCACTATGTTCTTTAAGCAGCTTTATGAGAATTTATGTTTTTGTTGTCTTCTTCAGTGTGTGTCCATCCTGCATCCTGTGCGAGATGTGCCGACATAGCCATGACCCCAGCCACAACCTCGTGAGAACCAAGACACCTCTCTCCATCCCTGAGCACGGGATGTCTGGAGAGTTAAGGTAAAGGCCGAAGACTCAGGATGAATCCAACCCACCTCTTTAAACCGTTAGACCTGTTTTTTACCAGCGGTGCAAAGCTTGTTGCTATCACTTCCACATGAATAGAAATAGAATTAGCTGCGAAGCACAACTGCAAACATGTTTTTGCCGATAGATTTCTGTAAATCATGAATTATGAGTGTGACTGTGTTTTGTTCTTGGAAAATAAACTTTTGATAGTCAACAAATAGGTGTTCCTGATGACATTTCAAACCAGGTTCCCACGGCGAGGAGACAGGACAGTGCGCAAGGCCGAGCGACAGCGCCTCAAAGCAGAAAGGAGGCAGCTCAGAGCAGAAGTGAAGGAAATCAAGAAGAAACTGAGACTGGAGAAGAGGGGGCTGCAGTGGAGCGGGCCCTCTACCTCAGGCAGAGCCAACCTGACAAACATGGCCTCTGCGTCCACCCAGGTCCCAGCCCTGCCCCCCCCTGCTGACTCAGAAACAGCCTCAGGTCCAGCCCCAGCCCACGGTCCCATCCCCGCCCCGGTCCCCGACCCCCAGGCCTCCAGTCCAGAGTAAGCGCCACCCCGGAAGGGCGTCCGACAGTGCTGGGTACCTCGAACCCAGCATGGATGCAAAAAAGTCTTTTTTTTCCAAGAAAAGAAATCAAAATATGCCATCTTTGTAATCTAGTCTGTAAAAGTGTATCGCTGGCTGCTCTGGGGTGGTGGAAAATGTTGGAACTACCTCAATGTGAAAACTGCTGCTGCTTCATAGATTTTCTAAGAAAAAAAATGCTTTTGAGCTGCAAAAAAAAATTTCTGGGGTCCTGCTTTTTTGATTCGTAGAGAACAAAAGAGATGGGTGTTATGAGAGACCAGGGCTTTTTTCAACAATGCTCTGTACACTTGAAACTAGGGGTCCCGGGGTCTCGCACTCGTCTTTGGTGCCCACTATGGCTGCCTTGTTTCTGGATGAAAATCTGCCTGACGGCACCCGTCTGGAGCCCGACACCAAGTTCATCAAATACTGGAAGATGAGGAATTCGGGCACTATCAGCTGGACCCCAGAGACTAAGGTACCCCTCCCACCCACCGAGAGGACAGGCTCCACTCTCTCTCTGCCCCCCCGCTTCACTCTTTGAGCCCCCACTCAGCTCATTGCTTATCTTCTAACACCAGCTAAGATTTCTTACCTTTCCTGATACAAGTAAAGCTCTTCTTGTCTGAGATGTTTATTATTTGGATTAAGTTGAACCTGTGATTTTTAGTCAGATTTTCAAGTCTTTGTCATTATTTGAGTGTGTGTGCACGAGTGCGTGTGAGCGCGTGTGTGCACGAGAGTGTGTGCGTGTCCCTCACTTCACCGTGTCCATGTTTTCTGTTGTGTAACTTCTGTTGCATGCTGTTGTCCCTGTGCCTTTTCGCATGTGTATATTTCTATTTTGTGTTCTCTGTGTGCGTGTGTGTGTGTGCGTGCACTCAGCTAGTGTTCATGTGGGGAAACCTCGACCTGGCGTCAGAGAAGAAGAGGGAGGTGCCGGTCCCCTTGCTGCTCCCCGGCCAGGTGGGGGTGGTCAGCGTGGCCTTTGTCGCTCCCGTGATGGAGGGGACGTACACCTCCC